CTGCCCTGGAAGCTCTAAAAACATTTTCTAGACATTGAAGCAGGAGGAAGGCTCTGGCATCAATCTAAGGGTCTGAGAACCTGATGTCTGTGGCTCTTCCTCCAAACAAACTAGCTATGTGAATGGTGCAGGGCTGGGGAGGTGAACCCAGCTGGGCTACATGAGATGATAAGAGAATCTGGCAAGTGAGAAGAGAAGGAAGGGAGTCAAGCTTCTCCTCACCACTCACTCTGGTGTCTCTATAGCCTGTTCAGAGCTCCTGCACTCACTGCCCTTCATGTAAAGACCTCTCTCCAAATGCAGCTTGTACATGATCACTGTAGGGTCCTAATGCCTCTACTAGCCCTCCCCAGGAAGGTTCCCTCTTACCCCTTCTAAATGCCTCTGAAAAGCTTGCTGCCCACCATGGCCAAGACCTTCTACCCAGAACTCCCTAAGACAGCCAAAGGACCTCCACATCCCAGTGGCTGCTTCCAGAGCTTGGAACTGTGAGAGGCAGGTTATAGGATTTTGCCGAATGAACCCACAAAGGCAAGAAGTTATCAGCAAACAATTAGCCAGTTGATTCTACTGGTACTCAATTAGCTACTGCATGCTCATCCTCTCACAGCCCGTCTCATCCCAGTCTGTGGTAGAAGCATGCCTACACTACCCTGACCATGACATGCCTGCCTACCAGATTACAGGCATGCAGCCCCACCTTGCTGTAATTCCAGCACGCTCCTTCCACCAGACACAGCCTGAGGGTGACAGAACCCTGAGACAATGGCCCAGGTGAAGCAGCTGAGGGGAGATGATGCCCCTGAAGCTCATGCAGCAGCCTCTGCTTACCATCTACCCTTTAAAGAAATGACAGAATGTGACAGGTGCATCTAGGAATCAGATATAAACCACTAGTTTACTCTGGAATGTGATACCCTAAGAAGATCCAGCAGGACCTGACCAATGGTATGAACTGCATCACCACAGGGGGCTTCAAGGAACTGGAAGGCCATATAATTCAGGGCCTCCAGGAGAAGGGAACTTTCCCCCACAGGCAAAGATTGCCCAGCTAGCTGTGGATAAAGTCCTAAAGTGCCAATTTTATTCACACATGGGCTGCAGCATGGTTCACATGAGGACAGAAGCAACCCATCATCTATCAACAGGCAGATGAACAGATGAGTGAAGTGTAACCCATTCCTGCAGTCCCAGCTAACAGGAGGCTGAGGTAGTTTGACTGAGTCCAGTAGTCAAGAGACAACATGGTAAGACCCTTTTCCTTCAACTGTCTTAGCTATGGTTTTATATTGCTGTGAAGAGACATCACGACCACAGCAACTCTTATAAAAAAGAAAGCATTTCATTGACTGGCTTACAGTTCAGAGGTTAGTCCATTATCAGCATGTCAGAAAGCATGGAGGCATGCAGGCAGACATGGTGCTGGAGAAGAGCTGAAAGTTCTTCATCTGGATCTGTAGGCAGTAGGAAGAGAGAGTGAGCCACTGGGCCTGGCTTGAGCTTCTGAAACCTCAAAGCTTGCCCCCAATGACACACTTCCTTCAACAAGGCCACACCTATTCCAACAAGGCCACGCTTCTAATAATGCTGCGTCCTATGGGCCTATGGGAGCCATTTTCATTCAAACAATCATACTCACTCAATGGAATATTTGAAGTTTGCTGTGGAATAATCTTGTACACTGTAAAGATTTGTTACTCGAATTGGTTTAATGAAATACTTTTTGGGCAGTATCCAGGTAGGAAGTACAGGCAGGGCGACCAAATTAAGAACACTGGGAAGAAGAAGGGTAGAGTCGCCAGTCAGATACAGAGGAAGCAAGATGAGAATGCCAAACTGAGAAAAGGTACCAAGCCACATGGCTAAACATAGATAAGAATTATGGGTTAATTTAAGTATAAGAGCTAGTTAGTAATAAGCCTGAGCTACCAGCTGAGCATTTATAATTAATATAAGCCTCTGTGTGGTAATTTGGGAAGCAGATGCTGGGTATTTGGGAGTAGCTGGCAGGACAGAAACCTCTGTTTACAGAAGTTGGCTTTCCCCCTACCCCTGTGGTAATGAAATTGATTGAACCCAGGCAACTCTCACATATGAAGCAAGAGGTTGAGTACTGAACTCCATCCTAGATCCAGACAATAGAGTATTATTCAGACTTGGAAAGGTAGGAAACTTAGACAAACAAACAAACAAAAACCAAAACAGGGTTTCTGTGTGGAGTCCTGTCTGACCTGGAACTCGCTCTGTAGACCAGGCTGGCCTCAAACTCAGAGGTCCACCTGCCCCTACCTCCCCAGTGCTGGGGTTAAAAGTGTGCATCACCACCACCTGGCTAAGGTAGGAAATATTGAAGAAGTAATTTCTTCACAAAGGTACAAAGGAGTCAAATTCATCCACAAAAAGTAGAGTGATGGGTGCTAGGAGCTAAGGGTAGGAAAAGGGAGTTAATATTTGACAGGGACAGTTTATTTTGCAAGTTAACAAAGTTCTTAGATGCTGGTGTGATGATTGAACAATGCAATCAGTTTAATTCTGCCCCATTACATTTTTAAAAATGCAAGATAATAAATTTTACGTTACCTGTAAACAGGAGGATGAGGAAGGAGAGGAGACTGAAGAGGCAGGCTCCACTCCTCGGGTCTTTCTTAGGATTTTCATTGCTGTGATTAAACATCATGACCAAAGGCAAATTCAGGAAGAAAGGGTCATTTCAGCTTACAACTTTCAGGTCACACAGCATCACTGAGGGGAATTGGGGCAGGAACCCAAGGCGTAAACCTGAAGGCAGGAATTGAAGCAGAGTTACTAGCTTACTCCTCAGGACTTATTTGTTCAATCTACTTTCTTATACAACTCAGGATCATTTGCCCAGGGGTGGTATCACCCATGATGGGCTGGGCCCGCCCATATCAACCACTAATGAAGAAAATGGCCCCACAGGGCCCATCCAGATCGCCTGTAGGCGTTTTCTCAGTTGAGGTTCCTTCTCCCCAAATGACTCTCACTTGTGTTAAATTGAAAACCAATAGTCAGCACAGGGACCTTCTTGCATATGGCTCCCCAGTCTCAGGAACTCAGCTATGGAGGCTTCTGGAACACAGCCTGAGGCTCTTAGGAAGCTCCCACCGATGAAACGATCAGGCCCCGTCCTACAGGGCCAGGCTAGAGAGAGAGCTCATTGGCTAAGCACATGTTTTTTCAGAAGACCCAAATGTTGTTCAAATCTTAGATGGTCTTATAATAAAAAACCCAAAGCAAGATATCAGGGTGAAAGCTGAAAGATCAGAGAAGCAGAGCAGCCAGCCACTAGTTCTTATCTCTATGAAATCTTCAGCCTAAAGAGAGTGAGTTCCTGTTTCCTCAGGCCTTATATACCTTTCTCTGATCTGCCATGTCACTTCCTGGGATTAAAGGTGTGTGCCACCACTGCCTGACTTCTGTGTCTAATCTTGTGGCTGGCTCTGTCCTCTGGTCCTCAGCAAGTTTATTAGGGTACACAATATATCACCATACCCGAGTTTTGTTCTCCCACTCTGGGCATCTTATAACTGCCTATAATACCAGCTGTGGGGGATCAGATGTCCTTTTCTGGCCTCTATGGGCACCCCCACACATATGGCATACATTCATACACACATGCATAAAAATAAAAACAAGCAGGGTGGCGATGGCACATGCCTCTAATCCCAGCTCTCAGGAGGTAGAGCCAGGTGGATCTCTGTGAGTTCAAGGCCAGCCTGATCCACAGAGTGAGTTCCAGGACAGGCACCAAAACTACACAGAGAAACCCTGTCTTGAAAAACCAAATAAATAAACAAACAAACAAACAAACAAATAAATAAATAAATGTCTTAAAAGATTTTTTTTTTATCAAAATTGTGAGACCATGGGGGAACATTTAAAATTACAGAGAAGCCCTGTCTTGAAAAACCAAATAAATAAATAAATGTCTTTAAAGATTATTTTTTATCAAAATTGAGAGACCATGGGGGAACATTTATGCTCATATGCCACTTTATGGCCCATCTGGTGGTACAGTTCAGGGCATCTTGCTCTGGAAATCTGTGCACACTACTGACAGTTGTGTTAGACAGATGAGCAAGCAGTGCTGGCTACCAAGTGAAGCAGTGTGGGCCTTCCACGCACATCAGTGCTCCCGGCCCACAGGTCTCTGCTCTGAGGGGCTCCTCTGACTGGCTGGCACCTCACTGCTTTCCTTGTGAGTGGATCATAAAGCATCCTCAACACATGTTCATTCTTTAAAAAATTAATTGCATGTGTGTGTGTGCTTGCCCATGCTAGTGCATGTGGAGGCTAGAGGTGGGCACTGGGTGTTTTCTTCTATAGTTCTCTATTTTCTGAGACAAGGTCTCTCATTATACATGGAGTTCACCATTTAAGCTAGGCTGGCTGGTCAGTGATTCCTCAGGATTTGTTGGGGTTACATGTGCACACCACAGTATCCGGCTTTTATATGTAGGTTCTGAAAACCCAAACTCAGGTTCTCATACTTGTTCAACAAGCATTTTACCCACTGAGCGTTCTATCCAGTCTCCACATGTTCATTTTTAGAAATACAGGCATGTTGTGGTCATTTTGAAATGAGAACAGCTGATTACTGGCATGAGACCCTCACAAGACTGAGTCCATTAGCATGCCCTCACAGAGGAGAGGGGGAGATCATGAGGCAGTTTAGCCATGCAAGGCCCCTCCCCTGATGGCTCAGTGAGGAAGACTTTTCTTGGTGGTATAGCTGTCTTTAAGTTGCCCATGTTCCTGTAAATAACTCCAATTAAACTCATTGGTAAACTGGGCATGGTGGCACAAGACTTTAACCCCAGCACTTGAGAGGCAGAGGCAGGAGGATCTCTGTGAGTTCTAGGCTAGCCTGGTCTACATAGTGAGTTCCCAGGACAGCCAGAGCTACACAGTGAGACTCTGTCTCAAAAAAAAAAAAAAAAAAAAAAAAACCCTCATTAGTTTAACCAAGTTAGACTTGGGTGGAACCATTTTTTGTTTGTGTTTTGTTTTGAGACAGGGTCTCTCTACATAGTCCTGGCTGTCCTGAAACTCACTATGTAGACCAGGCTGTCCTGAAACTCACTATGTAGACCAGGCTGGCCTCCAACTCATAGAGAGATTCACCAGTCTCCCAAGTGCTAGGATTAATGGTGTGTGTCACTGTGCCTGGCTATGTAGAATCATTTTTTGTGTGTGATCAGTGATCTTACTATGGGTGAATAGAAGTTTGTTTGTCTCCCCCGTAAAAGGTCAATGCAACAAAAGGTGGTAAATAAAATAACAATCTTCTTTGAAATGGTTTAATAGTTTTCACTTAAATAAGGCTTTGGTGAGATTCACCATATATAAAGATAATCTCTATATAAACAGACATCTTGGAGAATTCACCATCAGTTCATCAAACCACCAGCTCCACAAGTATAAAAGGGGAGGTAGAAAAACAAGGCCAAAAAGTGGAGAAAGTTTCACTGAGTTCTGGGGTCTGTGACAGCTGGAGTGTCCAGAGCCCAAGGAGAGTCAGGCACCTACCTACCCAGGGCACATCAGTAGTGCTGAGGGATCCACAGGAAGGGAACGGGGGGGGGGGGGGGGGGGAGCTGTGGAGGGACTGCAGAGGCAAGCAAGGACCTCTAGCCCACTGCACACTGGTCCAGCTAGAGTGGCAGCCTGACTTCTGGGGAGAGGCAGAAACCATGGCTTCTCTAGCACTGTGGTTCTTGTGGGCCTGTCTTATCATGAGTACATGGCTGAATGTCAATAGACAGGTAATCACTACTGGAGAGATGGAGGTTGGAAGATGCCTGGAGTAGGTGGGGGTCAGAGCTGCTCCTGAACATCTTCCAGCATACAAAACATCTTCAACACAGAGAAAACTTATCAGAGAAACCACCCACGTGGACTGGAGCTGGGAACGACTTCCATCAGTAGTGCAGCTTTCATGAAAGCAGGCAGCAGTCCTACTGCATCTGAGAGGAGGGCAGGATGGTCCTCACTGGCAGATGGGGACTAGCTCAGAGAGGCCGTGACCCTACTCCTGACACGGGCCTGGGTGGGTTCATGTGTCTGTCTCCACCTATCTCTCCAGTTCTTTAGGATTCCCCAGGAGACCATGGTCTTTGTTGTCTGCTCATACATCTGAGATGCAGATTCAGAGTTTCACCAACAGAACTGCTGTCCTTAGGCTGCTGACATCAGGGTCCTGGGTGGGAGTGGATAGTCAGGGAGCTAGAGGTCCTCGTGAGTAGGGGTCAGGTCCACCCTCTGGGCCTTCCCAAACACCAGAAAGGTGCCCAGTCCCAGGTTGCTGATGATGGCCACCAAGTTGAAAACACACGTCCAGGAGCCAGTGGCCTCAATCAGGTAGCCACCCAGACACACGCCTATCACACCTGGACAAGAGAGGCAGAGACTGACTGATGCTTCAGGGAAGCTGGCCCCACATATCAGTGAGCTCTAGGGGCAGAGCAGGGCAAACTATAGACGCCCCAAAGACTCTGAGATAAATTTCAAAATCTGAGCTGTGGACCACAAGAGACTCAGTCTCAGGAGTCTCAGAGGACACAGACCTCACAGGCCATTCCAAATTACATGTTGATGGTGTCCCCACACCACATCCCACCCGAGAGAAACAAAGCAGAAGGTAGAGAATGAACCTCTGTCAGCCCAGGTACTCAGTGGAGGGACCAGACAGGGGAGGCTGGCTTGGGAGTCTCCCACCATTACCCAAGTCAAGTGGCACCTCAGCTGGCACAGCTGTGATCCCCCTGGGCCATCTTGGGGTTTGTGCTCTACCTTGACTCCAAGCTCATGTCCTAATTGACCCAACCAAAGAGCAAGAGAACCTCTAGGTCTGGGCCTGGAGCCACCCCTTACCTGCCAAGGCCCCTGCAGTGTTGGCCACACCTGCAAACAGGAAGTTGTGGGGAGAGACATCATGAGAAGACCTCCTGTTGCTCTACAGCCCAACCACCTGGGATAGCCCACTGGCAAGGGTAGGAATGAAGCAGGGATAAGAAAGTGGCTCACCAAACAGAAAACCAGCACAGGATGGGGCCAGGTCCTGAATATTGACTGAAATACCACTGTAGGAAACAGGAAAGAAGGCATGTGAGTGGCACAGGCTTGGCCACCTCTGCTTGGCCTGAAGGGGCTACTAGCACATAATGAGGGTTATAAGTCACAAAAGATACCCAGACCTGCCCCTGACCCTACCTGCGAGGTGCTTGGCCTGCTGACACCATCTACCCCACACCCCAGTCTCCCACTTTCTTGCTGACACAACACAGAAGCTGCTCCTGAGAACGTGCACAAGGCCAGAAAAGCATGCTTCAGGAGGCTTGCTGTCTGTTCATTTGAAACAGCTTTGAACTGGGTTCCTAATGCGCCCGAAGATGCTAATTAAGATCGCTACTGCTTGGAATAAGAGAAAAGATGCAAAAAGAAGAGAACAGACTGCAGGGGGCATCAGGCTGGTGTTTCTGTTCATTCCTCTTCCTGGGTCCTCCTCCCAGTACCGGGGGGGGGGGGGGGGGGTGTCCCTATTTTCTTGAATGACCCTAGCTCAGTACTCAGATCTGCTCACTGTGACAGATTATGGTAAGCTTTCCCTAACTCCATCTTCATAAGCCCCTGAGCCAGAATGCTCTAAAACCTGGCAGCCCTTGGGATGGACCATGAACTCTTACCTGTGGTTGAAGGTCTGGAAACTAACGGAAGCTGATGCAAAGATAACAGCCTTAAGGAAGCTTGTGGTGTGACCCAGACACAAGGCAAAAATGCTTGATAGACCAAGGCCCATCACCTGCAGGACAGGACTGGTGAGGGGCCAGGAGCCATGACGGCCAATATGGCTCATCCTGTCTTGGCCCTACCCAAAGGATCCCTAGTGTTCTGAACAAGATCAGGATGGTTCCACCTAAAAACTCACATAGAACAGAGACCATGTTCAGAAAAGGTTCTCAGATCAGCCAATAATGACCCCAGAGCATCTTCCAGGGGCCACCTACAGAAGCCCCTTTCTGGGTCCTTTTGATGTGGATTGACCTCTGATAGTTTGATACCCCACAGACTTTCAAATCTGAGCTGACCCTGCCAATACCTAAGAGCAAGTGCTGCTTCTGGGACCATGAAACCTGGTACAGTTTTCCCAGGTCATATCTTTAATTTCAGCCTAGTTCAAGAAATCAGGAGATTTGAGTACACACCCTCAGGTCCCAGGAGACCAGAATGAAGTAGGGATGTCCATAGAAGGATGTGGTTATTTGAATTAGAATGGTCCCCATAGATTCATATATTTGAATATTTGGCCTCCAGTTGGTGGAACTGTTTGGAAGGATTAGATGTGGCCTTGTTGGAGGAGGTGTGTCACTAGAGGTGGGCTTTAAGGTTTCAAAAAACCACACCATTCCCAGTGTTTCTTTCTCTGCTTTGTGGTTGTATCTTAAAATGTGAGCTCTCAGCTACTGCTCCAGGGCCATGCCTGTCTGCTGCCATGCTCCCCACCATGATGGTCTCGGCCTCTGAAACTAGAAGCTCTAAATAAACTCTTTCTTCTATAAGTTGCTTTAGTCACAGTGCCTTGTCATAGCAATAGAAAAATAGGACAAAGGATTCAAATGATTTTCCTACCTGCATGAACTTACGCACTGTGATGACTCTGTAACCTGAGCAAGGAGAAAGACCCAGGATGAGTTTCCATCAGCTTCTCTGGGTGACTCTGAAATGTGTCCTCAATGGGGTCCCGCCAAAAATTACAGAAGAGGAATACAAGTGCTCAGGGCAACACCTCAGGGTTCAAGACAGGAGATTCCCTTTCATGGTTTGGACCCTCCCATGTTCAGTATGTGTGTCAAAGGGTTTCCTGCGGTGCAGTTTGGGTAGAAATGGAAGGACAGCCCCATGGCCATTACAAAAGTGTCAGCTATCAGGCAAGCTTAGTTCAGTTTCTCTGAGTTTCCTCAAATTACGTGATCTTACCACAAAGAATATGTGCTACTTTCTATTGAGGAAAACCTGTATCCTGCAAATGAGCACTCATGTGCCAGTCCTCTCCACCTGAGTCTGTAAGGGCATTCCCCACGGGGCTGCAATATGGCCCCCGGAACTCTGGAAGACTCAAGAGCAGAGCTGGGTACCTGTGACAGTTGACACACCAGATGCCTTCCTTTCCCTGGAGAGGGTTCAGGATTATGTTCACTAGGATCCTCTTGCTGTCCCCAACCCTACCCATTAAAGAGGACACCTCGGAAGATACAACGGACTCCTCAGCCCCAGGCTACATCCATTCCTTGAACTGACTCTAAAGAATGGTCTGTCTGTCTGTCTGTCACAGGATGGTGGTATGGCCTTTCCCAGTGATGCAGCTGCATTGCCAGAGGGGAGTGAGATCCCTGAGGCTGTGGTTAACCGAGACAGTTTTCCCCAACACTCACCCTGACTGATGAGGCGATCAGAGAGGAAGCCACTGAACAGACTGGCAGGAATTGCCAGCAGCCAGGGCACCACATTGAAGACCCAGCCCTGCAGGGAGAGGTGCAACCTCAAAGGTGGCCAGGGTGGCACCTAGCCTCTGGATGACACCCAGGCAAGAGGACCACCCCAGGTTCACCGTGTCAGTTGAGCTCTGCCCACCCACAGGCTGGGCCTGAGAGCAGAGGTTCCCAGGAGGACAGGCCTTGACAGCCCATTACCAGCACCCTGGGCAAGTATTGAGCCCTCTAATGGCTGACTCCAGAAGCCACGTTCCCCACATGCTCTCCTTATTATTACAGGGCTATAGCCAAGCCAGTCTGCCTGGGAATTTATAGCCCAAGAACTCTGGTGTTCACAGGCCTCCCTTGGATGTGCCATCAGCAGATTAACTAGCAAGCCCTGAGAGAAGGGGCTCTCTTGGGCTGAGGTAGCTACAGCTATTACAGTGTGTAGCTCTCATAGCCTTGAATGAATGTCTGTTCCCAAATGGACTGTCATCTCAAGGCCTGAAGCCCATATGGTGATGGAGTTACCAAGCAAAGGGTGTTACCACCCACACACAAGGGCCTTTACAGCCCAAGCTTTGCCCTCTTGACCCTGTGAGGACCCAGGCAACATTACCCACCTTGGAGTGGGGGAAGGTCTCCTTGAAGAAGGTGGGCAGCCAGGAGAGCAGAATGAAGAAGGAGCAAGCCGAGGACAGCTGGGAGCAGATTGCCGCCCTGTGTGGGGCACCAAGCTCAGGGTTCTACCCAGCTGCTGGCGCTCCTGACACTGATTCCATGTGGGACCCAGTCCTTCCCCCAGGACACCAAGGCCCTACCCTCTGAAACATGGGGCATTTGCTGGAGTGTCAGGACTGGGTCCTGCCAAGCATAGCCAGCTCCATGCAACAGTGGCTGCTTTGCCCCTTGCCCTGTCCTCACCCATGCTCTGCCTGGCCGTGCCAACCCTGGCTCACCAGACAGAGGGCTTCCGGAAGAGTTGTCTCCAGGGCACTTTGGAGGGCCTGGCCATAGGCAGGCCTTGTGCCAGAACACCCAGGGCCAGAACAAGGTCTAGGGGAACAAATGATTTCACAGTGATAGCTCTCAGGACCACGCACCCCATGTCTGTCCCTAACACAGCAGCCATTTAGGAACTGCTAGGCAGAGGAGTCAGGGTGCATCTTACCATCCCTTCTAAGGAGTGGCTATCAGGAGGGACCACCCTTCTAAGGAGTGGCTATCAGGAGGGACCACCCATGAGCGTACAGTTCTATATCTAACTCGTGCCTGTGCCTGAAGTCCCTCTGAGGCCTCTTCTTGCTACCTGAAGACTCAGCCTAGTCTACCACCTGCCTTCACCTGCTAGATTCCCTATGTCAGCCTTAGCCTCGATGGAACAATATGATGAGAATCCAGGGCTGGGGCTGGCCGGCTAAGGGATCAGCACTTAGGTTTTTGAGCTGGTCATTACTATCTTCACCAGGCAGCTATGATTACCCATAAAGATACCCTCAATATGGAGCCTACTGATATTAGACCCTCACCTGAGATTCCAGCCACTCTTGCCTGTGCTCCCCTTTTACTCCCACCCCGACCCCAGGATGGGGTTTCTCTGTGTAGCCCTGGCCATCCTGTGGACCAGGCTGGCCTCAAACTCAGAGATATGCCTGCTTCTGCCTCCCAAGTGCTGGGATTGTAGACTTGCACCACCACCACCCACTCGCCCATGCTTTTTGTAATACTGCCCCAGATAAAAGTGGGTTGGGAGATTAAGGTAAGAAGGGGACTCCATCCATGCTGGAGTGAAACCAAGCTAGACTTGAGTGGAATCATTTCTTTGATCTGTTGGTGGTAGTGCTCTGTCTGGGAGGAGTGCATATTTATTCACTCTTCCCAGGAAAAGTTCATGCAACAGATGTTTGCGGCACTGCGGGGAGGGGAGGAGGCACAAGGACTGGCCCGCATGGCTGAGGTTACCTTTCTCATTCAGCAGGTACCTGTACACGTAGTACACCCAGAGCAAGGTGAGACCACCGGAGAAGTAGAAGACACTCTGCCAGCCACACCAGTCCAGGAGCACCGAGCCTACGCCCCCAGTCACCAGGGTCCTGGGAGATACAGAGGAGTGCCGCAGTGACCTTGGTGGCTGTCCACAAATGAGTCAAGCCTCCAGGGCAAGAAGCTATTCAGATGGTCTGCCTCATCTATTTTGCTCTTCAGAGAGACTGGAGGTGGGACAGTTGGGGCAAAGGGAATCTGGGAGCAGCTAAGGAGACTCAGCATGGGAACTGCAGTTGCTGCGTTTCTAATTTCTTTCTTCTAGACCTTCAAATTGGCGTACAATTTGTCATGTGAATGCTTGGGAGAAAAAAGGTAATGATAAAAGGAAAGCTTAGGAAACACTGAAATGAAAATACTCCTTCCTTCTTTCTTTTTCTCCATGTGTTATGGAGGATAATATTCCAGAAAAACTTCTAAGTGTGAAAGCATGGAAGCCTTCCTCTTCCCTTTGGCTCCAGGGTACTATGGTCCTAGATGCAATAAGTGGTGCTTTTGCCTCACCCTCCACCCTCCACCCATCACTCTGTGCACTCATCCAAGAAAGAGAGAGAACACTGGGCTCTGGTGTGAGGCTGAGCTGCCTTTCTCCTTCCTGTGCGTTCATCTGTGTCCCAGGCACAGCACCTGGGGCAGTACTCTACCCTTGGTGGAGGCAGCACTTTCCCTCCCCAGCCCTCCTGGCCATGCATAGAACCCTGTCTGCTGTGCAGGACACCAGAACTGGGATTGAAGATGTATACTGGACCCCTCTGTAGAATTTAGCCCTATTGTTTCTTTGACATTCACATTTCACAATGTGAACTGTGCTTTTAGTGTTAAATCAGACCACCCTAATCAGCAGAGTTGGCCCCTCACACAGGTGGCCTCAGTGTTCCCACTTTCTCCACTCCCCATCCTGAACTCAGCAACAGTAGACCCAAGCCTGGATGGTTCAGAAAGTCCCCATTAACCTCCCAGGAGTCCACCCAACATACTAGTTAGTGGCCCTTCCTCCATGCATGCTTACATAGGGATATCTCACAGAGGGTGGGGCAGCCTCTGGCTCCCCTAGGGTAAAGCAAGTGCTCACCCAGTCCACATGCCAGAGCCCCAGCTTACAGCATCCAGAAAGGCAGAGACATGCTGTGATGGTTAACCTTTATTGTCAACTTGACAAGATTTAGAATCATCATAGAAACACACCTCTGGATATGTCTATAAAGGTATTTCCAGAAAGGTTAAACTGTGAAGAGGAAGGAAGAACTATCCTGAGTGTTGGCAGCACCAAACCAAAGGCTGAGGTCCTGGCCTGAGCTGTTGTGGTGGCAGACACCTTTAATTCCAGGTCTCAGGAGGTGGAGGCAAGGGACGTCTCTGTGAGTTCCAGGCCAGCCAGGGCACACAGTGAAACTTTGTCTCAAAACAAACAAAAACCAATCCCCCCTCCAAAAGGAGAGTGAACTGAGTATCAACATGTATCTCTCAGCTCTGGCAGTGATACAATGTGTCCAGCTGCCTCATTTTCCTGCTGTCATGATTTCCCTGCACGATAGACTGTACCCTCAAACTACAAGCTAAAGTAAATCCTGTCTTCTTAATTTGCTTCTTGTCAGTTGTTTTGTGGTGGCAACAAATGTAGCACTTCTCACAGAATTGAGGGACAGCCACCAGTTATTGGAACCTAGCACTAGCCAACAGAGTTCTCAAGCACCTCTACCCTGACCATCACGGCTGGACTTGAGGAATGGACCTTGAGAGCTCAGGTGGAAGCTTCCTGAACCCCTGGAAGGTGGGGCCTTACCCGAACTGGGAGCCGGCACCCACAGTGCTGTAGGTAAAGGCCCTTTCACTCTCCTGAACTCTCTGGGACAGCAGACTGGTCAGGGCTGGGAAGTAAACACCTAAAACAAGCAGAGAATGCTGTCACCAGGTGCCCAGAGAAAGCCGGTGAGGGTCAGGACAACACTTGAGTTCGGGCTGTGAATCCAGAGGACGTCCGTGTCTCCTTTCCATTACCTCACTGGGCTGTAAGGGACCAGCAGGGCTGGGCTTTTGGCAACATTTAGGTAAGGAACCAAATTAATTCAGGGTAAGAGTTCTACAGAGCAATGTAAAACATCCCTTGGAGAACACTCTACTTCAAAACTCCTCTGCCCAGGCATACTACCTGGCCCCCAGGCTATTGCACACACACACACACACACACTTACATGCCCCACATCGGCTCCCCGGAGACACTTGTTAGCCCTCCCACTAACACATTTATGTGTGCACACACAGACTACACAGAAGATTCTCACCTGTGCTCCGGCTCCCTCAGACACTTCCATATGTGTGCCGTATGTGTGCTGTGTACACAATATACCCTTCCAGGAAAGTAACTCTACCTACTCTTCTTTGGAGAGTTTCCTCCTTTGGTTTGTAGGCAGCTTAAAAGCTTGGAAATAGCAGGATACACAATTCTAGTCCCAGCACTCAGGAGGCAGAGGCAGGCAGATCTCTAAAACTTTGAGGCCAGTCTGGTCTACATAGTGAGTTCCAGGCCATCCAGAGCTACACATAGTGAGACCTTGTCTCAAAATAAATAAAAAAGCTTGAGTATTCTCTTCATTCTAGAGGGTTCTAAACCCCAGTCTGGAGAGACTCCTCGAAAGGTCCCTTTGGGGGTGTGGTAATAGGAACTCACAGCTTCCCTGTTGTTATTACTCACAATGGGGAGGCAGGAACCATCAGCCTGCTTCCCCTTTGGAACTTTTTATCACCATGTCAATAAATGGGGCTCCTTAGAAGGCAGTTCTTGTTCCTTGAGAGCATGAGACCTGGGACCTCATCAGAGACCAAAGACCCACCACCCTGTGAAGGAGAGCCATGGGGTTGGGTAACTCCATCATCTCTCTCTCTGCCCACAGATAACAAAGATATGGCAACACCCTCCCCCCATCCCTGTCCTGAGTGAATAGTCACAGGCTGTCATTCAAATAAATACCTTAGTTATATAGAACAGACTTTTGAGCAAAGGATATAGGCACATGGGTATGCACAGTGCTCTCTCCACCCTTTCCTGGCAAGGTTGAAGGGCAACATCAGAAGGAGGAAGCTGGAGATGGCCCTTACCTTGGAGCAGACCCGTAAGGATTCGAGAGAATGTCATGAAGGCCAGGTGGCCACTGCCAAGGTGGGCAAGCAGTGGTGTGACGACAGTAATGAAGCCCCAGGTGGAGGCTGACAGCAGGATGACCTTCTCACCTCCAATGCTGGAGGAGACATGGGGACAGGATGAAATACTTTGTGAGAGGACTGAGGGAGCATCACCACTAACCACTGTACAGAGCCTTGTGGTGGGCACTACTGCAGCCTGCCCTATAGAGGAGGGGCTGAGTGCTGTGTACGGAACTGAGTTTAGCCTGTCTGTTTCATGTTTCTGTACCCACTGCCTTAGAGCTGCCACACCCAACCTTCTCTTCCTAAAGGTTAAGCCTCCTCCCAAATATTTGTTGAGCTCCTCCCCCATCGGCCCTCCTCTCCTGTGTGCAAGGGCGGGACTGACCATACTGCCTCTCTGAGCACCCAGGTGATGGCCCCCCTTCAAGCCTGAGCAGTGGGGAGAGGGGGGTTGGTTACCGATCCCCAAGGTGGCCGCCCACCACCTGAGTCAGGCAGTAGCCCCAGAAGAAGCTGCTGAGCACGATACCAGCCTCCTTCTTGTTCCAGCCGAAGTCCTGGCTCATGGCAACAGTGCAGACGGGCATGGTGACTCGAGCGCAGTACAGCAGGCAGGTGCCCAGGAGCAGCATCCCTGTCCATGCCTGGCACTCAGGCCTGTGAGACACACAGAGAGGTCAGGAACTGGAGAGGGCCCATAGACAGTCTTGATCACTCAGATACCTTCCAGAATGGAGTCATGCAAACAGTAAGGGTGGGAATTAAGATAACCTCTTTGGTGGGGAGTTTGGCACTGTCTTCTAGAAGATAAGACCAATACTAAACACAGGGGCTGAAAATAGCACAAAAGCCCTCAGGATGTAGGCAGGCTAAATACATGACAGCACATTCACAAGGCTCAGAGCCTGGGTCCATGCTTCTGGCTGCTAGGACTACACAGGATCCCAAGTTGAGGACTAGACACTAGCATTACCCATATTCTCAAGCCTCTTATTGACCACAGGGATTCAGAAAGGGAGCCAGAGCTAACAACCTTCAGAGCAATGTGCTAAGTAGGGGAACCCAAAGAAGGCAAGGTTCAGGGGGAGCAGAAGGCTCCCAGTACAGTCAGCCCTCAAAGGTTCCCAGGAAAGCTCTTGATCCTTCCCAGAAAGGGAGGCAGTCAGGAGAGGATCTAGAACTGTGGGGATAATTTACCCAGGAGGAATTCGGGCAAAGCAAGGTTGATGGGCAGTGAGATCCCACACAGCAGTGCAACTGGGAGCTCAGGGCTCCTACTTGTGTGGGGTTTGTTGTACATCAGACAGTGGGAAGACAAATAGTCTCAGAGGAGGAACAGACCCTGACTAGGCTTCCAACTAAGAAAGGATCTCTTAGAGTGAGATATGTGGCCCAATTATGGGGGCCAGGTTCATGCTTCCTGAGAAGAGCTTTGAAGATAATTAACTTCCTGGTATATTTAAGGTCACATGGTAGGCTGGTGGGCTTAGCTAGATGGAAGGGTAGCAAGCAAAGTGCTCTCTCTCTCTCCCTGCCCCGCCTCCATCTTACTGTGCCGACTAGCCTAGAATGATGAAGCTTAGGGTGACTTCAGACTCAAAGCAATCCCCTTGCTTCAGCCTTCTGAGTGCTAGACCTACAGGTATAAGCTACTAACTAGCTTGCTGCTGCTGCTTCTCTTTTTTTAAGACAAGGTCTCTCTATTTTGTTCCAGAGCTCACTATGTAGACCAGGCTGGCCTCAACTCACAGAGATCCTCCTGTCGTGTTTTTAAAGGTGTGTGCTGCTATCTGCTGCTGCTTAACTGCTTCTTCTTCTTCTTCTTTTTTTTTTTTTGTTTTTGTTTTTGTTTTTTCGAGACAGGGTTTTTCTGTGTAGCTTTGGAGCCTGTTCTTGAACTCACTCTGTAGACCAGGCTGGCATCGAAATCACAGAGATCCACCTGCCTCTGCCTCCCGAGCGCTGGGATTAAAGCATGTGCCACCACCTCACAGCTGCTGCTAGCTTCTTAAACATTCAAGTTTTGGATTAATATCCACCCAGAGAATTCTGCTGACAGGAGGGATCTGATAGTGAAACAGGAAATACGATATGCCCTCCAGACATGACCAGCCTCATCTGCTCTGTCTTTTTGCTCTTCAGTGAATTTGGATATCATCAGTTTTATGAGAGATGGTGATGACAGACATGCAGGTCTGGGTACTGTTCGTGAGTTTGATCACACACGCATAGATCTAAGGTCCACATTATTTCCCTCATCTCAGCCTGTAAAGACCCCAGCTCTCTACTGGGGAGAGAGATCTGATTCCTTTTTTTTTTTTTCTTTCTAAAGGTGGAAATCAAACCTAAGATCTCACTCTTGCTAGGCAAGTACTCAATCACTGTCACTAGTGGGAGGTGGATTTGAGACTTGCTTTCCTGTCTCTGTGTGTGGTCACCTGGCAAGCAGATTCTTTTTTGTAAGAGTTTATTGTTTGAGTAGGCAAACTTGGCCTGATTCTGCCAAAGCAGGACAGTGGAGAATGGCCCTTGGCCCATGGGACCCTCCTCTTAAAGACACCCTGCACAGCAAATATCAACATGAATATTCTACACATCACTGGTCAGTCAGTCATCAGCCACTAGAATATCCACAATGACTCACAAATAGTGATGAGCATACCATCCATCTAGGACAGCAATGGAGAATGTGGGTTAGGATGTTTGGGGATTCTGCATAACTATCCTCACAAGGATTCTAGAAGAAAACTACCGTTCAGATTTTTAAAATATGAAATGGGTTTGAGGTCTAGGGAAGTGGGTGCTCAATACAGAAGAAAGAGGAAGGGCTTGAGAGAGGACATCTTTTCTGGGAGGGGGCAGACAGGAGGGTGGCATAACTGGACACAAATCCTTTGGAAGTAGGCTAGAGTCTCGAGGCAGGTGACTGACACTGGTCACCCCCTCAACATAGAAACAGACAGAGCAGGGAAGAGACAAACTAGCAGATATCTAGCTAGAGCACTAGGTTTGGGGGACCCAAGGTTGCAGCTGGGCTGGGTTCAGAACCCCAGAGGGTAAGTGCTGGACAGAGTCACAGGTGAGGGCCAGGAGGCAGAATGGACAGCCCATGGGAGCAGCAAAGTCAAAATAAAACGGCAGAGAGAAGACTTAGAGCCACAAGCCAGGAGCCCAAATTGTGTGATCAGTGTCTAGCAGGAGAAGAAGGTAGATGGGCCTCAAAGAGTAGAGGAAGGGTAACAGTGAGACAGGTATCAGGTGAGATGGGCTCCTGGGGGCATTATACCCTGTACTCCCCAAAAGATGTGTGGTGTCCTGGGGACCAGCAGCAGTCCCCAGACTAGAGTGCCAAGCATCTTCCAGAGAGGTCAGGGGAGGTGGATACTTCTGAGGTCTGCTCTAGTAATGGCCAACGTGGTGTCCACTGTGTGGCAAGGAACCTCTGAACCCCAGAGTCAGGAAGGAATTGCTTGAGTAGGTTCAAGAAGGACTGAGTCCTCTGCCACCTATCTGGGGACCCCAGGCACTGAGGAGGGCAGCAAGCTGGGAGCTTACCCAATATGATGTCAACAAGTTCCCTGCTGGTTGAGGGGAAAGACTCAGAGCTCAAGCTACTCTCAGGCTGGGATCCCCAGATACTACTTCTTTTCATAGAGAAGACAAGGCATGGATAGGCTAGCAGGCAGGAGGGGGTCATCATCTGGCAAGACTCCATGTGAATTCAGTGGGTCTGAAGCTTATTAGTTGGGGAAACTGCCAGCAGTTGGTTCAAGAAAGGTTTTGCCCCCATTAGCTGGTGCCACATGTACATGGCAGAGTGTAGCTTGGCTCCTTCTCAGGCCTCCAGGAGCTGGGTTTCTGAGTCTTCCCTCCTATCTCCTCAAGAGTCTGTTCTTGGATTTGACAGAACTCTTCCCAGTAAGAGCCCAGAACACAGCAACCCCCACCTCCCAATTCTGCTTTCTTTTCTTGTTAGGACAGTGTCCTGAGCAAACACTGCTACTGGATTATTGAAAACAAAGGGGACCAGTCAAGCATTAATGCTGCCCTGGAAAGTGTCCTGCTTGCCCTAAAGTGCTGTCCCACTTGTGGAAGCCCACTCCTCGGTGAGGACTCTATATGCAGTATAGGTGGCTTGTTTCAGCTGACTGGAGGCACAAGGATCACAGCAGGAGCACGGGAGCAACACTAACTCACCCACACAATCCAAAGGTGTCTTTCAAGAGGAGCTTTATTCCTTTATGTGACTAAAGCAGCAGAGTCACTTGTGTTCAAGAGAGACCCACCCAATATGCTACTCTTCCCTAGGTGCACCTATGGTTGCCCAGCCCTGTTATTGCTAGAAACTAGTTAGAAGCAGGAAGCCAGTTAGACCCACACCTTCCAAATGAGAAGTGTCTCTAGCTTCCTGATGGCGATGAGAGATCAGAAAAAGCCTAGGCAACATCAAAGTCCTCCTGGTGGGGTCCTATCAGGCCAGCTGCTGAGGACTAGGGTCCAAGATCCCTCATTTTGCTGAGAGCTCTTTAGGACCAGGAGCTTGGGACAGGATTGCCTGAAAAGTTCCACCTGCCCGATTGGAGCCAGAGCTCAGGCTGGCACTCTCAACAGGCATGATACTTCCTCCCAGACTTCTGTAGTCTTGGCTTCCTGTAGATGGCCTGTGCAGAGCATCCGGGGTTGAGCAAACAGGTGGTCACATGGCCCTTAGTTCAGAAAGGGGAAATGTGCTGGCACCAGTGGCCAGGGCACCAGACAGACCAACCAACTTCCCCACACCCCAAAATTTGCTGAGGAGAGCATTGCCTCCCAAGTCACAAAGAGGACTGGAAGAGATGGGAAGCAGACAGAGTACTTATTGCTGTTACTGTTACCCCCACATGAGTTGAGAGTGACCTTGACCCTGCAAAATCCCCAGAATTCTCAGCCACCACCTCTGCCAAAGGTGACTGGAGCATGCACACAGGGAGAGCAGTAAAGGGCCAAGCAGAGCCATTAAATTGTAACCTACAGCCAAATTGGCAGAACAGTTCAGAGTTCTCAGAAAGCCCACAGTGGTGCCTCCAGGGCCCAGGTGAAGCAGAGTCATTGGGATAAACATGGGGTAGGGTGGGAGGTAGCAAACCAGAGAGCAAGAGCTAGTGAGAGCAGGCACACAATGCTCCTCTTCTGGCCCTCCCCTAATTGTCACTGGCAGGGTTGAGATCTGGTTTGGTGCCTCTCCATAACCTCCTGCTGTGCCTTTCAGCCGCTCTAGGAGGACCTTGAAATCCCTCCCAGTCGCTTCAGGGCTCTTGCCTGAGGTGACTGGGAGGTGCCAAGGCTTGACTCTGGGCCCTGGGTCCAGCACCTCCACCTGGGGGCTCAGGAACCGGAGCAGGGTGTGAGCTTTTTTGTACTCTGAATCTCCTCTTTTGGGCTCCCATTTGAACCCTCTCACAGTGGTCCTGTAGCCAGATGCCACCTTCTTGTACCTGGTTTCTGTGGGGCTACTTGTTTGGAGGGCAGTGGAAACGGGAATGGAGTATGAATGAGGATAGTAACTGCTGTTTCCCTTCTTAGTTTAGAAGCCTTGTGAACTCAGGACCTGCCTCTCTGACACAGAGGTGCTGCTTGGATCCCTAGGCTGTGAGCATCTGTCTAGCCCAGTGTGTCCACCAAGTGTCCCAGACCTCAGAATACTGGCAGGGAGAAGGGCGAAGGAGCCATTTGCCAGATTTTGGTATTTGATTAGAAGAGGAGGGTCCCTTTACTTGGTTGAGCATCTGCGTTCTCCCTCTTCTTGGGCAGCTAAGAGGAGCATGCCAGTTCCAGAAGCGAAGGTGGCAGGTTACATACAGATAGCCTGGGAGGCGCCCCTAGGGTCTGGTGCTCCCTGAACTCTGGCCCCGTAAAGTTGCGTCTCCCTAAATGTAAATGTCCTCCCTGCCCCAGCACCACCCACATCCCCATTCACCTGGACCATTGTGCATCCTCTGCTGCTGCAGATGGGGTCTTGCCGGCCTCCTCTGGTGCTGACTGCATCAGGCTGGAGCGCTGAGATGGCATGAGCACCGTTGTGTCCCAGTACCGTGCCCTCCCCTCAGGCCTAGGCCAACCCACAGGGCAGCACCGCCCAAGTCCACGTGTCAGTCCCAGTGCTTCCGTCTAGCTCTCCTAGGACGTGTCGCCCCCGGAATTGAGTCCCGCCCTACTGATGTCTGGGGAGGCAGGGCCAGGGACCTTCCAGCTCCGCAGCTCCAGGCTTACCACTGGGACTTCCGGCTGGGGAAGAGAATTCCCTGGGGGATTGTGGTCCCAGACCTGCCAGCAGTAACTTTCAGAGCAGTACATATGGGGGTCTCTGGTCTTTGCTACAAAGTCCTGGAGGATAGTGATGAAAGACCTCATCGGGCTGTGAAATGGTCTAGTAAAAATTAGGGATCGATCCATAACCAAATGCAAAGATAGTAAAACTTTAGGGCAGTCAACTTTAAAAACGGATCTTTGGGAGAACTGAGCTGGTGATAGCACTGGGGGCAGTGAAGGTGGTCACTGGCCTTGAAATCCTGGGCAAAGGATTTGAGCAATGACCACCCCCACTAGGGTGGGTCCCAGCTACACCTCACCTGCAGGCTTCTGGGGCTCCTTCCTTATACTGGCTCATCCTTCCTTTATTTCCAGCTATCCCAAATAAATCCCTCCCCCACACAGCTGCAGGCAAACTGGGACACACCCACTAAAGGCTTCCCATTGCACTCAGAAGCTCCACTTTCTCTCCACCCTCCACAGAATGCCTTATGAGCGAGCCTTCAACAGCCCAGCTCACAACAGGTCTTCATCATGGGATACATATGTATTAAAAAATATTAGGACCTGAGGCTAGGGTGTGCTCAGCATATGTGAGGCCCTGGATTCAATCCCCAGTACTGGGGAAAACAATCAGGACCTAAAAGCAAGGTCAGTCTTCCATCTATGTCAGTTATCTAGTAGGACACAAAGATGATGGAAGAGAAAGGTTTGCTTCCCTAGCAGCCCAGGGATTGTATGTTGGTGTACAGTACTAGCAAGTTTGTTCTCTTCTAGTTATCCATTTTATTATGTGACTCTCTTCAGAAATTGTATATGAAAGATCCAGAACCACAGAGCAGGGCAGCTGTTTAGCATTTCTTTTTGAGGGGGGTCACTGTTCTGGGGACAGGTGAACAAAAGTAGAGAAGGGATGTTACCTTAAGTAGGTTGAATGGAGAAGGGACCTGCAAGATACATGAGGTCTGCAGGAGCAGCCACAGGGTGTTAGGATATACATATCAGGCCAGAGCCTCAACAACAGGGTGGACAGCTACGCTGCCAGAGTTAACAGGGCAGGTGAGGCCAAGGTACAGGGGAGACTTCACTAGCAAATTTTGAGGACAGAGTCCCCAACCCCTCAGTGTTGGGATACCCTGGCTGCCATGTGAATAGTTGAGTAGCCAAGGTAATGCCTAGGGGTGGGGGTAGGGCACAGAACCCAGCATCACCCAGGCCCTGGGGCAAGAGAGGTCTGAGTTCTTGGGCTGTGCATAGGGATTGGGGGCATTCCTCCCCAGGCTCCCAGTCACTAAAGCAGAAGGCATGGGTACAGCCAGAATTGCCTGAAAGAAGATCACATCTAGCTGGGAGCTGAGCAATGCCAGAAGTTGGCAGTAGCTGGGGTGGACATTCTCTAGTTGATACTAGGAGGTGCCCTAGACCCAACTGACAAAGCCATCTTTGCAGTTCAAGGTGGAAAATTCCATGTGGAGACATTAGATAGGTAACGTCTGTCATAGTCCTCCAAGCACAGGCTTCTTGCTCTGGAGCAATGGCTATGCCTTTTGAGTGCATCTGCCTGCCCCATATCATGTTTTGTTATACAAATTTGGCACGGGGAGCCATGGCACGGTTCCTTGAGCTGAGAGACTCACTCCTTGCCGCTTATACTGTCATCCTGGCTTTCTTAGATCTTTGCTTATTTCCACTGAGAAGGCAGTCTGGGTCCAGATGACTGAGTTCATGAATAAAAGCAACTCCCCAGACACTACCCTGGGCCTAAGCCTCCAAGACTCCACTTAATCCCTGCCTCTTCTGTAACCCAACATACACAGTTCTAAAGATGAGAAGTCCAAATAAATCAGACTGAATAATTAGATTTTACTCCACTGTTATTGACAGGCATATGTAACAAATAAGACTTTGTAGCTGGAGAGCTCTCCAGCTGCAAGACTTCAGGAGCCAGATGTAGTGATGCATGCCTGAAGCACAGATATAGCCAGACTGGGCTACAAAGTTAAGATCTGAAAAGAAGAAAAAAAGCTTTTGGTACTGAACATCATTTGTATCCACCTTCTAAGCCAAATGTGCACATGGTAGCGAAGAGTTCAAGCAGCTAGGTCTGAGTCTGGGGGAAGCCAGACAGTGGACATCATGATGACCAAAGATGCTTGTGAGTGGCCAGTTCCATTCACAAAATTATCTCTGGGGCTCTCGAACAGCTCTTTTTTTTTTTTTTTTTTTTTTTTTTTGGTTTTTTGAGACAGGGTTTCTCTGTGTAGCTTTGCGCCTTTTCCTGGATCTTGCTCTGTAGACCAGGCTGGCCTCGAACTCACAGAGATCCGCCTGCCTCTGCCTCCCAAGTGCTGGGATTAAAGGCGTGCGCCACCACCGCCCGGCTTCGAACAGCTCTTTTTTTGGGTGCTGGTGCCTTCAGCTGAACCTTGTAAACACCAAAAGTGCTGAGAAACACCACCACCACCTCCACTACTCCCTCACTCTCTTTACACCAGAGTTTCAGGTGACAGGACAGCTTGTTTTACTTTTGAGAAGCAGCTGGGTGAGGTTGTCAGATATCTGACCTATGAGAGGGAAAATTCCTGTGTCTACATGTGTGCAAGCATATGGGTGAAACCTGTAGATGTTTACAGGAAAGGGGAAGGCAGAGCTGTTTAGAGCCTATCTACCAGGCATTGCAGGTCCCGCTTTAGGAGACAGGCAGTCATGCATGGATGGCATAGTAGATTCAAGAAGTGGACAGTCACATGCATGATAGTAGTGTAGTACAGGATACAGTGTAGTAGCTATCTTCCAAAAGCCTCCAATCCAGAGTCTCCATCAAACTTTCAGAGAAGCCAGGCAAGAGAAATTTCATCAGGACCTGCATCTAAGAAGGAACTCCCTTGAAGTCACATGCAAATGGCTGGAGAGATGGCTCAGTGATTGAGAGCCCTTGTTCTGACAGAGGACCGGAGTTTGATTTCTAGAACCCACATTATAGCTCACAACTGTCCATAATTCCAATTCCAAGGGATCTGATGCACTCTTCTGACTTCTGTGGGTACTAGGCACATATATGGTGCATGGATATACATCTAGGCAGAACACTCATTCACATAACATTTTTAAAAATCTAAAGGAAAAAAAAAAGAAGTTATATACAGGCAGCATCCTGTAGTCACATCTCTTGATTACAGTTGGGCACAAAAATTTCTGCAGTTTTCTTCTGTATTAGGGTCACACTGGGCCCTTAACTTGGTCTTCATCTAGGGGCACGGATGAGATTCAGATACAGCAGACTTCCACAACCCTTTAAACAACCATACCCACCTGAGGCCACACATTCCTGCCCTACCAGTCCACCAGATTTACATGTAACCCCATTGATGGGTAGTTGCCCAGGACTTAATACCACTGGAGATATTCTGTTTCCAGAACAGGCAGACTATTTTAGGACATACTACCCATAGTACACAGAACTGTGTCAGAGTCTGTGACAGGTAATGACACCAGGGGCCAAACTCTGTGTTCTTTCATGTAAGTATAAAGTCTCAAGTCAGGATGGCATTCCAAAATTGAGGGAAAGCATTCATGATAGGCAGATGGTCCCCCAAACTCCTCAGATTCAACATGCAAGAGTTCACATTCAAGCATACAAGAGATCTCTGCCACTGGGATGTGGTGGTATTGTGCTCCCCAAAATATTGTGTACCTTAATAAACTTATCTGGGGTCAGAGAACAGAAAAGTCACAAGATACTTAGGCTAGAAAATGTTAGCACACGCCTTTAATCCTAGCATTCCAGAGACAGAAATCCCTCTGGATCTCTGTGAGTTCAAGGCCGCATTGGAAACAGCCAGGCATGGTGACTCACGCCTTTAATCCCAGAAAGCAGCCTTTAATCCCAGGGAGTGGTGGTAGAAGGCAGAAAGATTTATAAGGTGTGAGGACCAGAAACTGGAAGCATTTGGCCTGGTTAAGCATTTTGGCTGGTTAAGCATTCAGGCTTCTAGCAGCAGTTCAACTGAGAGCCATTGGGACAAGGACACAGAAGCTTCCAGTCCGAGGAAACAGGACCAGCTGAGGAATTGGCAAGGTGAGATAGCTGTGGCTTGTTCTGTCTCTCTGATCATCCAGTGTAAACCCCAATAACTGGCTTCAGGTTTGATTTTATTAATAAGAACTTTTAAGATTCATGCTACACTGGGAAGTTTAGCATCATTCTCTGGAAGCATGAGTGAACTGTTAGCCATAGCCCAGAGTACCACATCATGGCACTGCCATGAAGGGCCCAGGGATGGTAAAGGCCCTTTCCTGTACAGTCACCACCCACCACCCGGTGCAGGATGCCTCTGTAGTGTGCTGCTTGGTGCCCTTGGAGGCTTCTTCTCCCTGCATTTCCCTCAAGCCTGATTGAGAAAATGGCAACGGAGAGGTCCACACTGGCCAGCAGCATGGAAGCCACTGCATACTGCACAGGGCACCCACAGCCATCTTATCCTGAGGCCCAGGAATGCTGCAGCTGTCAGCTGAGTAGACTGGCACTATGCTGTGGCATGGTAGTGCTTGTATTTTTGATGTCTGGAAGCTTTCTTGTAATAAAGTAAACACTGCTAAAGTGGGGACAGCAAAACCAAAGTGCAGATACATCTTCCTACTCTTCCAATTCTACACTGACTTGCATGGGTACCTTTCCAGGGAAATGGGGGTGGGGGGTAGAGCTTTCAGACAACCATTCTGGGAAAAACATGAAAACTTGTACTAATAAATCGCAGCAGGAAGCCAGAAGCTACCCATCGGTACTTCTCAGATGATGTGTGGCTGGGTCACAAATGCCCCCGAAAGAAGAATTACAGTTAAGTATGCACATGAGTACTCTAGCAAGCTAAGGATTTATACAGACTCTACACACCTATTGCTGCCAAACCAGCTTACTAAGCATCACAAAAAAGCAATACATTTGTGAAACAAAAAGTACACATGGTGTCAGAAGAAGACACGTTAACAAAGCAACAGTGAGTGAAGGCTGGTGATCAGACTATACCCGTGCATGTCGTCCACTGCACACAATTCAGTGTGTTCATGTGCAGGGGTGTACACAGACCACTCTGTTCACTTGATACTTGGAATTTGGTCTTTTGTTCATTCTGAGACTGGACAGCAACAACCTGTAAGGGAATCCCATTTCATTCTCTTGATGACATCAGTGTCTTTATCATGGAACATGTAAGAGTCCTTCTGGAACCCTGGTTCCTCCTCTCTAAAACTAATAGCACAGGAGAAAATAAAGACATCACACTGCCCACCTCAGGTTCACAGGCCTGACCTCCAAGACACTATTCTTCAGCTACATACATTATAGAGGTCTCAAACACCAAATCCAAACTATAATTCAAGTGACAAAACTAATACATCCTCATCTTTAGTGTGCAATAATCACCTGCTTTAGAAAATTTCAAACTGGGGTTACTCCTTGCACAGCTCCATGATGTTGGAAGAGTATTAGAATATTCTTATTTCATTTATTTCACGGCACTGTCCATTAAAAGGTGCAAAAAAGAAATAAAGCTACTTTGTAAAAAGCCATAAGCACTTTTTTGAGTGAGAGAGACAAGTAGAAAAACTAATCTATCCTGCATGCTCAGGTAGCTTAACTTCATTAGTCTGCTGCAACAGAAGTCTACATGTACTCCCTTGGGTGGGGATGTCTAAGCACTGGCAGATCTGGATAAATAAGCAGTTCTATTTGAAGTCCTCCAGCCTTGCTCGTATCTGTGGTGTTGGCTGAATAAGTGACTGACTGAAGTGGTAAGATGTCAACACCTTGTCTTACAGCCATTTAACATTTCATGCATGCAACAAGCCTCTTTCGTGTATTTGTGGATAATCTCTACTGAGGGAACTTCCCATTACTATACATTTCATGCCCTCTAGTTTTAAAAACATATCAAACTGATTTGCTATACGAATGATCTTATATATATTAACAAAAGATAAAAATATGCTGGCTATCTGGCACTATTTTGTTTAAGACAGGATCTCATATATAATATAGCCTAAACTGGACTGGAAAAATCCTTCCTCAGCCTCATGAATGCTGTAATTACAGGCAGGAGCAACCACACCTAGCTTTATATGGTACTTTAAAAACAAATACTGTATCTTTATTGATACCCCTCCCCAACTTCTGCTTCATTTAACTTACTAGCTACCTGAAAATTAAAACTTCCTTTCCCTCTACCTTTAAAAAAAAATATTTGCTGGGCAGTGGTGGAGTACGCCTTTAATCCCAGCACTCGGGAGTCAGAGGCAGGCGGATCTCTGTGCGTTTAAGGCCATCCTGGTCTACAGAGTGAGTTCCAGGACAGGCTCCAAAGCTACACAGAGAAACCCTGTCTCAAAAAAAAAAAAAAAAATTTGTCTGTGTATGAACGTGCATACACGCACACGCACCTGCATGTCTGGGTATATGGAGGCCAAAGAGAGCATCAGATCTCTGGGAGCTGAAGTTACAGGCATTTGGGGAACACCTGACTTGTTATGTGAGTGCTGGACTCTTGGTCCTCGTCATGTCCTCTTAACCAACATCCCATCTCTCCAGTAATTCCTTCTATCTTATTCTTATCCTCAAACCTAACGAGAGGCTACATCTGAAGACGATGTTGAAAGCCACCTGTTTAGGAGCTAAGGGGAGGTCTGCTCACTCCTTACTCACAGACCAGAAGAGCAGTGTGTGTGTGTGTGTGGGGGGGGTCGTAATGATAGCAACCACTTCATCCTTGAGCCTGTTGCTAATGTGATCCTAAGAAGAATACTGCCAAAGCACCTGCCTTCTGCAGTAAAAGCAGAGAGCTGGAAGACACTTCATTCCATCCCAACAAGGAATGTATTCTGTGGGAGAAAAATAGATACCGTTGAATACTGAAGTATGGACATGATAGAGGCAGCTGGTTAGTTGTGCTACCTGAGCAGCTTAGGTGCCAGCAAGCTGAACAAACCCAGTCTGACCTAGCTGTCAGTATGCACTGTACTGCTCAAGAACAAGGCAAACAATCCAAATTCAGTAGTTACTAAGACACTGCTTGTCAGCAATAAGCACCAGAACTCCTTGCTCTAATGTCAGACAGGCAAGAGCTTCTACCAATGGACAGTGCCCATATCATCTCCACCATCCATATCCATGGGTAACTGGCTGAGGGTTCTGCAGATCTGTGCATCCCCATCCCAGCCTTTAGCACTGCTCTAACAAGGCCCAATCAGGCCTGGGCCACTGCCAAGAACCAACCAAACACACCTGCCCCAGCATGACACATGTATATGCTCAACACTCTGATCACTGACCTACACATGCACATCACACCTCATAGGTAATGTCCCTCCTGCCTTCCACTGAGTAGGTAACAAATAGCTCGTGAGAATCAGGACACTGTAGCACTGCCGACATAGAAGCAAAAGATGAGAAACTACTTTGCCAAGCAGAAGTTCAAACTAGCTAGCATGAACACCCAGTCCTGTGAAGCCTGAGACCACCCAGCCATCCCCACCAACACCGGATTGCCCTGCCATCATGGAGGGCATTCCCTAGGCACATGGACTTTTCAATTAGTCCTTCAGCTATGGGTAAAGGTGCTGTCCCTATGCCAACAGGGACAGGACACCCAAATAAGGGCTGTGTGGATGACAATTTTTTAGAAGCCATTGTGGTCATTTGGGAAGTAAAGAGAAATCTTTATTTTCAACAAAGTTGCCTACAAGAGATGGTTCATTGGTCCACTATGAACGAATCTCTCATCACATACAGCACCAAAAAATATATTTAAAAAATTAAGAAAACACAGCCTCATCCCTCACACACACACATCCCCTCCCAAAAGCCACACAGCCCAAACCAAAAGGTAAAGAACTAAATCAAACTCAATACCCGCACACAAATTATCTTTGAATTAAGATTTACAAATTTATATATTCTTTCCTATGAAGGAACACAAAGAGGAGGAAAAGAAAAGAAGAAAAGGGGTAAGGAAAAACTTGAAGAAGGCCTGATAAGACCTAGGAAAATAAAACACTGCCTGCCTGCAGAAAGCAAAAGAACATCAGTGCTTTTCATATGCTGTGACGTGAGGCCTTCAGCTGAAATGACACTCCCTAGCAGTGCAGCACACACTCAGCAAACCAGATCTTCCAGAGCCAGTAATACCGGAAGCACTGGGGTAGTCAACTGCAGTGTGCAGTGCTCAGGACGCAGGGCATGGCAGAGGTGGTGTCTTCCATCATGGGTTTGCCAGTGTTTAAAAAGGCCATTTCCCCTTTTTAAACAATAAGGGCCAAAGAAAATGACAGGGGGAAAGGTTCTCTACTGCAGTGACAAATCTGCCAGTCACAGACAGATGGGAACGAGTCCTGTGCTGGTTGACAGTGCTGGGTCCGTGCACAGGCTCTACTTGGGCTCCTCAATCACACCTTTGCTGAGGTCTGTCATTTTGGGATATTTTACTTTCTTCTGGTCTAGCTCATTCTGAGCCCAAAGTAGCAGTTTCAGTAATTTTGCCAGCTTGGGTGTGGACTCTCGGTTTTCGTAATCCAGAACAGCCTGGTTAACTTCACTCCACACCTAGAAAAGAAACACATCCAATAGAGATGGCCACATACATGTACTACCAGCAAGTCTGATATACACTTAAGACATCTTTTTGTAGTGCTAGGGATAGAATCCAGGTCCTTAAGCACGTTAAGCAAGCACTCTATCATTAAGCTATATTCCAGCCCATTTGGATACTGTTCACAGCCAAGAAGCTTGTTACTCATTTAAAAACACATTTACCATGTGGCTATAAGTCACTGCAGTCCTCATCTGAAGGGCTCTTACACTTTGGTCAGCAATGACACAATGAGGTCAGCAAGTGCCCTGACCCTTCTAAACAAAAGTGTTGTGAGGACTCTGAGAGAGAAGAGCATCACAACAGCTACGTGAGCCCTGCAGGCAAGCCTTCAAGAGACATCTCAAGATCTTCAGGAACGGGCAGCCCTTCTAACATGGTATGGAGAGGAGAGAGCCCTAGGAGAGAGGAATCCAGCACACGGGGAAAGGAAGACACGGGCCTACGGAAGCAATGAGCTGTCATGTTTGCAGCACACAGAAGAACAAGGAAAAGTTTCAGAAGAATAAACAGATCTTAAGTTGAAAATACTTAGGATACCTGTTTCTAAATTGACAGGAAGAAGGTTAAGAGAAGAAAAATTGACAAAGGGTTTTGGATACTAACAGTCACCATACTGCTGCTCCTAGTTTTACAAGATAAAGGGGTACAGATGAGAGGAGCTGCCAGTGTCCTGCTGGAGCACCCTAGCCCAGGGCTATGTGTTTCACCCCCATCACAAATGCAGCATGTGTACCATCTTTTCACAAGGCCCGAGTGTCCACGAACAGAGCTCTCCCTTACCAGCCTTTTACCTTTTGCCTTTGCATCATGTGGAGAAGGTCTCCAAAAGGTGACTCCTCAGGGCTATCGAAGGCCAATAAGGCCAACGTGCGCTCCATTTCTGTGAGGCACTCTCTGCTTTCCTCACCCTGCTCTGCAAGCTGCGTTTGGGCAAACTCCAACGCTGCTTCTGTCTCACGCTGACGGATAAGCTCAATCAAGTGCTGTTGCTGGTCAGTAACAAAGACAGACACGCTGAGCTACACACAGCCTTGTAGGTGATACCCAGTATGGTCAACAGCAAAGACAGCCAACCTTGGCTGGCACACACACACAGTCAAAAGTCTATCTTACGGGGCTGAGGGTGTAACTCAGTGTTGAAGCCCTTGTTTAGCATGCAGTCAAGGCCTGGGTTCTACCCACACCACCACAAAAGAAAAAAAACCAAAAACCCAAAAACAAAAAATGACATTTCAAACCAAAGACATTTCTAGTACCTCCAAGTTAGTACATTCCCATTTTAAAGCAAAAGGAGAGGTTGGTGAGATGCTGCAGTGAACACACTTCTTGTGCCAAGCATGCTGGTCTCGGTTTGATTCCCAGAACCCGTGTAAGAGTAGAGAAAGGACTCCCAGGATGGTCCTCTCACTACCATACATGCTATGTGTTCGTTCTCTGTCTCTCTCTCTCATACACACACACACACACACACACACACACACACACACACACACACACACACACACACCTTTAAAAAGTAATTAGTTTCTATATAGTACATAAAGCAGCAGTTATCTCAAAGCCTGTCCCCTTCTCAACACTAAGCAATGTTCTACTAAGACCCAACAGCCAACGTCTTTCTGAGCCTTTGCAAACCAGCGTAACTTACCAAGCATCCACATCAGAGTCTAAAACTCACCTGAAGGTGAAAGTAAAGATAGCGGTTTGTGTCCAGGAGCTCTGGGTGGAGGCTGTTGATCAGGGCGATGGCCTCCTGGATCTGACCCTTCAGAATCATCTCCCGAATCTTGATTCGCTCATCAAGTGTTTCTAGGTCTACACTTGGTTCGATCCCAGACTCCATTCGAAACTTCTCTGCTGCTTCCTTAAAGCCCTCTGAAAAGAAAACTATCTTCACTGCTAGGAAAGATAACCAGGAATTAAGGCTTTGTACCTCTAGAGAACCCAACCACCATTAAAACGATCCTACATGTAATCACTTTCCTAGGGACTTAGGATTTTTTTTTTTTTTTACTATTTTTGTGATTAACAGTCAATGCTGTTATTCTTTTGCAGCTTTCCAAAACTCTAGCCTTCATCTGGAGGTTATAGACTGCTAGCCATTGTGTGCTGTGACACCTTCAGGGCAGGGATTATAGGTCGGGATGCCAGAACAACAGAGCCAACTCCGGGTGAGGCAGACACCTTCTTGGATCTTTACAGGACCACTGTGCTTTGGTACCACTTTACCCACAGGAGCCTGGTGAAACGGCAGGCCAAGATTTCTACAGCCACTTTCTAAGAAACTTTAGCAGAAATTAATTGGAGGGGTGCAGGAAGCTAAGGAATACTGGAAGACTTACACTCTTTGCTTTTGAAATTTGGGCATGATAGCTGACTCTCTCACCCCAGTTGACAGTAACCTTTCCCTGAAACAGGAGCATCAAAGTGCTGTTTTTCTGCACATTCCACCATTTGCCTTCCCTTCACTGTTCTGAGTTGGGCACACCTAGAAACAGGCCAGAATATTTTTTCAAGCTGGCCGGAAGATATCAATTATTTGGGCTTTAAATCTATTCAAACTTTTCTTTCTTTCTTTCTTTCTTTTTTTTTTTTAAATTCTGAGACAGGGTCTTGCTGTGCATTCCAGGCTGGCCGAGAATTCAGAATCCTCCTGCCTCAGCCTTCTGAGTCAGAACACTCTTAATAATCCTGAAGGCTTAACTATAAAATTGTCAAGAGCCAAAAAAGGATGTTCCTTTAAGGTCTCAGAGATCTGAAGCAATTATTTTATCGACAGGAAAAGTATTTTTTTTAAGGGAGTAGGGAAGTTTGAGAAAAGGTCTCACATTACAGCACAGGCTGGCCTTGAATTTACAATCCTGCCTCAGTCTTCCAAGTGCTGGTATTATGGATGTGACCTATACCACTTAGGGCTAGAAAAGGCCATCTTGAACATGTCCATTTGATTTACAAATATCAATCTAACATTGTGTTTTTATGATTTCTCAGCATAACCTAATATCATTATGCTTCGGGGTAAAAGGCTACTTATTTAAAAAGAGAGAGCTATGTCCAAGTGGTGACACCCTCACAGCCAGCCTTTACCTGTGACTAGGTAGTTCATGATGAGACGGTTCATATCTGCTCGTTGAACATGTAAGTTATTGAGCTTTTCCATCCATTCATCTTTGGTTATTTCATCGGGTTTTTCTGCATAACTCATTATGATTTATTTCTACAGGAAAAAGATACAACAACTGAGGAAGAATTATATGCCCACTCTAATCATTTCAGAAAATAAACACAGCAATGTAGTAAGAAGTGGAAGAGTAGGAGGATACTTTTAATCTTGAGACAAGCAAAAAAAGCCTGAGAAAAATACATGTCTGGGTAAAATCAAGAAGGTCAAGGGTGGGAAGTATGGTCAAGGGTGGGAAGTATGAAATGAAGAGACCAAGACATCAGATTGGGTCAGATAGAAAAATCATCACACTCTGAAGGAGGTGGTTAGTTTTGAAGCTAGGTATAAAGGGCAGTCATTGGAGAGCTATATACTAAAAGTTATATGCCATGATGTAAAAAAGGAGGCACCAATCAAACAGGCAAAATGAAGGCAAGTCTTAGTGAAGGATAGAACTTCTCCAACTCTTTTGTTGGAACACACACATAGTGAAAGCAACTTAATACTCCTTATAAGGTGGCACACAATGCTTCCTGCAGTGCAGCAATTGTATCCCTGCATCCTAGAAAGGTTCTAACACGCACCAAAGATGTGCTGTTCACCAATGCACACCTCAAGATGGCAAAAATGTGGACACCACTCCCCAAAATGTTCATTCAACCTCCTGAATAAAGGCAGTTATATAGATGACATGACCAAACCCTTGGGCAAGTGTGTTCTGAATTTGGAATTCTGCAGCTTGCACATAGATAATATGGCACAAGTTCCGGTCTGCTTTATGTATGACAGCCTCTCCAGAGACTAGGGAGCATGGTCCAAGTTCACATCATTTATTCAGTGAAACACGCTTATTCACACTCAGTGTAAAGAAAGCTAAAAGATGTTATCAAGTTTTGCCAAAAAATAGGTTTAAAAAAACTGTTTTGGCTGGGTGTGATGGCACACAATTTTAATCCCAACATTTGTGAGGTAGAGCCAGGTAGGTCTCTCTAAATTCATAGCTAGTCTAAGCCTGGTCTACAGATCAAGTTCTGGGTCAGCAAGAGTTACATGGTGAGACCCTGCCTCAAAAATAATTAAAATTAAAATACTGCTTTTACATTCAGAGTATTTAGACTTCAGAAGGAAATATGGTTGTGCATCACTTTAAAACAACACTGAATGGGAAAAAAGTTAAAACAGAAGTCCAAGTGTGACCTGAGTTTTGCAAAGTCAAACAGGAAATGAACTACATGGCACGTCTTTAGCACAAAATATTGAGTACTTTTAAGCAAAGACATGGAATCTGACAGGAATTGTTTCATGTGGGAGGAAGGCAGGATGGCAGAGCCACAGGAAGGCAGCTGGGGTTGCTTGGGAGCACCAGCTGGAACATTTTCATACTTTGTCACTAACATATACCTCATGGATATTATTTTGCACACTGCAAATGATAAGCTATTTTGCTTTAATAAATCATAAAATTGAAAGATAGCTTTGGTTTCTGGGCTGACAAGGGAATGCATACTGGGTGGGGAGAGCTAAGCTGTCCAACAAAGAGACATTCTAGGGCTGTCACAGAGGACAGCAGAAGAGAACAGACACTCAAGATCAAGTTTTGGCCTCCAAATCAATCAATGGCGGCTGTTGCTGGACTAAGTGTGAAGAACAAGAGAAAAGGAAGAAGCATGGGCAACCAGAGACTGCAGGTTTCAAGTGCCAGGTCTTAGAAATGGGACCACAACAACGTGGGAGGGATGCGAGTAGAACAGGTTGGAGGAGCAGGGCAAGTCTGGTGCAGAGGACTCTGGATTACAGGTCCTGGGACCCACGCTGGAAACAGTAATTAGGGAAACACATTTACACACACTGGGAGGAAAGTTATTTAAGCAAGAGTGTTTTAAAAAAACATAAGGTATTAAAGTTTCAAAGCCCACTTTCGGAGAATGTGGGCAGAGAATGCAGAGGGGCTTAGAATTTGAAGCATACTAAGACTTCTAGTTCTGGAGGACTTGGAGGCCCCAGAGCCTGAAAGGTAGCCCGGGAGGCGGGAAGTGAATCAACGGGGTTGTCATAGGACTCCATAGCCACAGGATAACAGCAGAATTTACCGATTCAACTTTTATTCTGGATACATAGGTAAGCAAAAAATTATCAAGCAAGACTGCGGACAGAGACCCGGCGACAGTGTTTCTGTAAAATTCTGTGATCCCAAATCCAGCGATTACACAGTCGATAGGGAAGCATCCTAAGCCCCGAGGATGACTTTCAACGAAGCAACTGATTGCATCTTCACCTTTCAGTCTCCGCTTTACTGTGGCTTTCATCACAGAGACATGGGAACATTTGCAAACTATTCCGGTCCCGGCAGCACCCCAAGTGAGCGCAGCCTCCAGACCTCCCGCTCCGAGGCAGGGCCGTGGAGGGCAGGACCGACTTCCCTGACCCCGGCTCCCGCTGCAGACTTCGGATACCCGAGGCAGGTCAGCCTGGCGCGCACAGGCCCCCAACCTTTGACCTCCGCGCCTCGGCCCACCCCGGAGCCCCGTGAAGACGCTCGGCACCGCCGTCGGGGCCCGCTGCGGCCATCTTACCGTGCGGATCCCGCCTCCCGCGCGACAGGGTCTGGGCGGCGGCTCCGCGGCCGCTCCCGGGGCCGGGGAGGGGCGGCAGCAACAGCGGGAGATAGAGGTGGAGACGGAGGCGGAGGCCGCGGCGGAGGCGGGGGCGGGGCGCGAAGCGGAGGTAGACACACCGGCGTCCGCCTCAGACCCCTCTCGCGAGATCGCACGATGCGAACGGGCAACCAATGGAATCCTCTCGCGAAGGGGCTGGGCGGGCGGTCACCGGACACTTGGACTTCGACTTCCGTTCTTGCGCATAACTCTTCGGCGGTGCCCTAGCTCTACGGGTTGGCGCGAGAGTCAAAAGGCCTATGTGCTTTCTGCGCAAGATGGCTGCTGCGGGGGCGTCTGCGTACTGAGTGCTAGCACGGGGATGGAGACGTGTAGACTGAGTTCGAGGCAAAGGTCTTAGCTCTTTTCTTTTTTTGTATGTGTATGAAGCTGGGGGAGGGATTCAGGTGTGTGGGAACGCAGGGATGCGCGAAAAAGGGAGGGCATTCTCCGTCTTGCAGTCCTCCGGGCTCTAGTCCCAAAGGCAAGGCCTCCGGACGTAAGCGAGCGCCTAGGATTTTGCTCCGCGGACGTTATAATCGAGGCCAGATCAGCGTCAGAACAGCGCTGCCTAGAGCTCGAGAGCGGACTTCGGAGACTCCTGTTTCCTGGGCAGGGACGCCAGGTTTCTGGGCACTCTCGAAGGTGACTTCTTAGTGTTGGGGCTCTCAGGGATGGGAGCATGCACAGAAGTGACTCCCTGCTTCTAAGGCACTCACGGAACGGAGCGGATCCATGCTTCAGAAGCGCTTACGGTGGGGACTCCCTACCCCCGGGCACAGAGGGCCTTCCTACTTCTAGGCGTTCACAGAGTGTACGCCTCTTAGCTGCGTGCGGTGGGGCACCCTGCTCCAGACGCCGGCGGAGGGGATCCCTGCCGCCGGAGAAGGGACCCCCATGCGCTGGGAATTGTGGTTACTCCTTGCCTTGGGATGGGTCCTAAGAGCTTGCGGTAAATGCTGGGGGTAGCTGGAGGCCCTAGAAAACTGCCTGGCTGTAGTTGGCAAATAGATATTTGCATGTTTATATGTTTATTGTCTACCAGAGGAGAATGTAAATTGAGTCATTGTAATGTAAGTAATTCTGGAATGTTTCTGGGAGGAATGTTGGACAGCTTGCGTTGAGGTAGTTGAGTATGCTTGCTTAAAATTGAACTGAGGTAGGCAGGTGATGGTGGCACAAGCCTTTAGTCCCAGCACTTGCGAGGCAGAGGCAGGCAGATCTCTGTGAGTTCGAGGCGAACCTAGTCTACAGAGTGAGTTCCTGGACAGCCACCAGGGCTGTTACATAGAGAAACCTCGTCTCGCAAAAACAAAAAAGACAGAGCACAACAAGCTGTGACTTTAAAAAGGGAAAAAAAAGAAAAAAAAAGGAGTCTAGGGGAAGTAACTTTTGGGGCGGGGGTGGTTTGAGACAGGGTTTCTCTGTGTAGCTTTGTGCCTTTCCTGGAACTCACTTTGAAGACCATGGTGGCCTCGAACTCACAGAGATCCGCCTGCCTCTGCCTCTTGAGTGCTGGGATTAAAGGCGTGTGCCGCCGCCGCCACCACCCGGCAGTTTTTTGTTTTTTGTTTTTGTGGTTTTTTTTTAATTTTCCAGATAGAGTTTCTCTGTGTATCCCTGGTTGTTTTGGAACTCAAGGACTTGTTCTGTAGACCAGGCTGGTCACGAACTGACAGAGATCTGCCTGCCTCTGCCTCTTGAGTGCTGAATTAAAGGCACGTCCCACCATGTCTGGCAAATCTTTAAAAATAGAAAGAAATTTGGCTGGATGAGGTGGCACAGGCTTTTAGTCTCAGTGCTTAAAGTTCAAGGTCAGCCTGATCTACATAGAGAATTCCAGCTCAGTCAGGGCTACATAGAGAAACCCTATGTCAAAAAAGTCTGAATGAATTTTTCCCCATGATTTATTTTATTTTTTTGTGTGCATGCCTGAGCATGTGGGTCTGGAGGCCAGAAGAGGCTGTCAGAACCCTTGGAGCAGAGGTTGTAAGAGCCAAACTCCACTTCTGAAAGAAGAATAAATGTGTTCTGAGCCCCTTAGTCCAGCCTGGGATTTTATTTTTTGGAAGACAAGGTCTTGTTGTAATCTATGCTGAATTTAAATTTATTTGTAGGCAAGAATGACAGTGAATTTATGATCTCCTGCCTCTACCTAAGTGCTGGGATTATAGATCAGTAGCAGGCTTTCTTGGACCGCCAGCTCCCAAACCATGACACCAAGATTTATTAATTATGAATGCTCGGCCTTAGCTTAGGCTTGTTTCTAGATAGATTTTTTTTTAACTTAAATTAACTCATTTGTATTAATCTGTGTGCTGCCTGAGTCTTGTTTACCTCATCTACATACTGTCCAACCTGCTTTCCTGCTTCCTCCATGTCTGGATGGCCTCCCCTTTCTCTGCCCGCCAGCTCCGCCTATTCCCCTTCTGCCTACCTATTGCTGTTCAGCTTTTTATTAGACCAATCAGGTTTCTTAGTCAGGCAAGGTAAAATAGTAACACATCTTTACATAGTTAAACAAATATTCTATTCCACAACATAGATTTATGCCACTACACCCAGTTTATGTGGTGCTGGAGATTGAACTCAGTTTAGTGCAAACTAGACAAGCTGTCTGCCAGCTAACTACATCCCAGTCCTGATCTATTTATTGGCAAAACTCAAGTCAGTAAATCCAACAGCAGTTTTTAAAATTAATTTCCTAAAACACCATCCAAAGTTACTAGTTGGACATGCAAACTAAAATGCTGAAGGATGACTGTAGGATAGTATTTTCAAAATTAAAAAACTATTATGTTTGTTTTGTTTTGTTTTTTAGACAGGCTTGAAATCTGCCTGCCTTTGTCTCCCAAGTACTGTGATTAAAGGTGTACAGCACTACATCTGGCTTCTGTTAGGTTTCTGTAAGAGCATAAGTGAACTGCAACCCAAAAACACTGCAGCTGGTTGGTGGTGGCGCACGCCTTTAATCCCAGCACTCGGGAGGCAGAGGCAGGCAGATCTCTGTGAGTTTAAGGCCAGCCTGGTCTACAGAGTGAGTTCCAGGACAGGCACCAAAACAACACAGAGAAACCCTGTCTCGAAAAAACAAAGAAAAAGGAGAAAAAAGAAAAAGAAAAAGAAAGCAAAAACATTTCAGTTCACAAAAAGCAGTCTTAAATATGAGCAAGGTGCATTTGTAGGTGTTTCATGGCATATAAAGTATGCATGTTTTATATTCACAACCAAGACTGCAGGGCCCAGAGAAATAGCGCAGTTCTTGCTGCCATTGCTGGATAGTTTGATTCCCAGCCCCCACATCTGGTGGCTTATAACCACTTGTAACTCCAGCTCCAGGGGATCTGATGTCCTCTTCTAAACTCTGCAGGTATCTGCACCCATGTGCACAGACACATGCTTATAATTTAAAAGTAATGATAAATCTTTTAAAAAGAACTAAGACAGTAGTTGATCAGTGCAGCATAGGTGGACCTGGCTAGAAACACCTCAGGGCCATTATGTGTTTGATTTTGATTTATTTGTTATATGTGTAGAAACCCATAACTGTTGCCAAATTTTTCATGATCTATTTCCCTATTTCAGTTATGCAACCCCATATAGGACTGCAACTCACAGTTTGAGAAACTGGGTTCTGAAGTTAGAAAGGTGGCTCAGCAGTTAAGGGCACTTAACTGCCTGTAACTCCCGTTTCAGGGGATTGGGCTCCCTCTTTTTTTTTTTGTTCGTTTTTTGGTTTTTGGTTTTTCGAGACAGGGTTTCTCTATGTAACAGAGTCCTGGCTGTCCTGGAGCTCGCTTTGTAGACCAGGCTGGCCTTGAACTCACAGAGATCCTCCTGCCTCTGCCTCCCGAGTGCTGGGATTAAAGGCGTGCGCCACCACCGCCCAGCTCTGGGCTTTCTCTTTTGACCCTCATGAACACTGTTCATGCATATGGTACGCATACATACAGATGCAGGCAAAACACTCATACACATAAGCATGGTAGCGCATGTCTTTAATCTTAGCTCTTGGAGGCAGAGGAATTTGAGGCCAGCCCTATCTACATAGTGAGTTCTAGGTCAGCCAGGGTTATACAGAGAGACCTTGCCTCAAAGAAAAAAGAGATGAACTATTTTTTTTTCTTTGGCTTCCGACTCCCATGTTGCCAATGCCTTATATCAAGAGTCCCTAAAAACATAAGGTTCACTGTGCTGGGGAGATGGCCCAGTCAGTGAAGTGCTCACTACACCAATATAGGACCTGAGGCTGATCCCTATGTAAAAAGACAGACCCTGGGGCTTCTGTGTGTAACTCCAGTGCTAGGAGGCAGACATAGAATCCCTGAGGCTTCCTGGAAGCCCACCTACCTGAACTGGTGAGCTCCAGATTCAATGAGGCGTAATTCTCAAAAGTAAGATAGAGATTGAGGAAGACCCAACATTGACCTTTAGCTTTCTACCTGCCTGAGTACACAGGTGCATCTTCACACAGACACGAACACACACACAAGGGAAAGGAAGGTTCCTGTGTATTGGGCATCTCAGTTAATAAAAATATTCAGCACATTTTAGGTACTTTATATGAATCTGTTGAGTAGATGGGGAAATAAATGCATGAATAGTACTGATGCCCTTCCCCAGGATGAATACTAGCAAAGGGGAGAGGGTTTGAACACAATAACTCATTTCGTTTTTTCTTTGTGTGGGGATGGGTACACCCAGGTGTTCTTAAAGGCCAGAAGACAAGGCCTGTGTTTTCTGTCACTCCACCTTATTTCTTCAAGACAAGATCTCACTAAACCTGAAGCTAGGCTGGGAGCCAGCAAGCCCCAGCAATCCCGTCTACCTCTTCACCACCACCCACACGCAGTGCTGAGATTACAGGCATAAGTTTATGTCGGACTTTTTATGTAGGTGGTAGGGATTAGAACTCAGGTGCCTCTGCTTGAGCTTCAAGTGCTCTTACCCACTGAGTTATCTTCTGATCCCTGTGAGACACTTTGTGTATGTTAGACTTTGAAATGCTTTTGAATTTGAGGTGTACATGGGAAGGTTCTGGGGACCCGGTGAAAAGGGTAGACCCAGGGTAGAAGTGGTTTCTACAGTACGTGTGGAACAGCTGGGATAGTGGATTGGAGCGATGGAGACCTGTGTGCAGTGGTACTACGGATGTAGGAGTAGGAAATAAGTGGGCGTGTGCAGAGACAGCCACACTGGCTACAATCTGGGACAGTTGCCAAGTTGACAGAAATGTCATCAGCCTGGTGGATTCATTAACTAGCCAAGCTTCCTGTATGTAAGAGGTGGACCTGGGGGAGAGACGCCATAAGGTTTGGTCCTGCGGTAGGAGGGGCTACCCTGAGGTCAAAGTACCACTGTTCTGCAAGCCAAGGCAGTGATTTGAAATTGTTTCACTGTGAAAGAGTAGCAGTTCTCAAGCCTGGCAATGGTGGTACACGCATTTGAGAGGCAGAGACAGGAGGATCTCTGAGTTTGAGGTCAGCCTGGTCTACAGATCGAGTTCCAGGATAGCCAGGGCTACATAGACAAACTCTGTCTTGAATAAAGAGAGTAGCAGTTCTAGAGAGAGAAACTAAAAGTATATGGGCTGAAAGAACTGGTGGGTGAGGTAGCCCAACGGGCTAAAAAGTATTTGTGCTTGC